GGAATATGAGTGTGTGAGATTAAAATAATCTTATACTAATTAACGGATTAATAATTATTCGAGAGATTTAATAATAAATTATTTTAGTCCATTATAATATATATATTTTAAAATTTACGGAAAATTTCATTTTGCCCCCTAAAAAATGCATCTTAGCACTTCCCCCTTAAAATACAAAAACGAGACTGTCCCCCTTCAAAATATACAACTTGGTGCACTTTGCCTCAAGTGTGTATTTCCGGTCTAATTCCCGCCGGATTAAGGGTGTATAATCATTTTACATCGTGCACTTCAAATTCTCACTTCTAGAGACACTTAAGGGCATGTTTGTTTCTATTTCCAAAACAATTTCTAGTTTTATACTATACATAAAACTGAGATTATAATTGTTTGAGGATTTTCACTTGGAAATTCCTATTTTTTTAACATTTTTTCCAATAGAAATACACTATTCATACTTTTCAAACCTATAATAATACCTACTAACCTATTTCTCTATCCTCCATTTTTTTTCTCCGATCTCAATAATAATAATAATAATAATAATAATAATAATAATAATAATAATAATAATAATAATAATAATAATAATAATAATAATAATAATAATAATAATCATCATCCTCAATCATTATATTCTACTATTGCACGTACTTTCGTAGAGAAAATTCACCACAACCAAACATATTCCTATTTCTACACCTACATAAAACTAGAAATACCACTTCATCCAAACATATTCCCATTTTCTACACAAAAACCAATACATCTACTTTTTCCATCATAAATTTTAAGAACTAGAAATTCCCATTGAAAACATAATCAAACATACCCTAAGGTTCCCAAATTAACAGAATTATCTTCCCAAATTGTTCGCTTCCAAATTAAACGAAGTTATCTTCCACATTGGACAAAAATTAGTTTCCGTTCTTCATAATCATTGTAATATAGGGTGGAAAATGTCAAATGACATTTAAAGCCTTAAAGGACGAAATTACCCTTCCAATTTAGTTAAATCCGACAAGAACCAGATCGAAAATACACATTTGGGAGCATAGTCCACCGAGTTGTATATTTCGATGGAGGATAGTCTCGTTTTTGTATTTTGAGGGGAAGTCCAAAAAATGTATTTTTTTATGGGGCGAAGTGCACTATTCCCTAAACTTTATGCATTATGTATTACTAGTTTTTTTAATAAATTTGGTGACGTTTGAAACGGCACCGAATCGGCAAGAGAAATGGGTGCACTAAGGGCACCCCTATTATTGCTAAAGCCACTCCACCACCTCCGTCTTTTCGCTTCTCCGTACTCACACTCACTTTCTCCATCTCCGCCTCTCATCAAACCCTTGCACTTCCATTTTTCAATTAGGTCAATCACCAAAATTACGGCAATGGCCGATAACTCCGCCTTCGCCGGCAAACACATCTCGAGTGATTGGTTCTCAGTGCCGGAGCTCCGGCTCCGGGACCATAGGTTCACAGTACCTCTCGATTACTCTATCGGTGATATTGCTTCCCCCAGGATTACCGTCTTTGCTCGTGAAGTGGTCACTGGTAATGAAATAATTTAAATTTGAGAAATTCGAATTTTCGCTGTGCTGTGTGTGTATTCTTCGTTTTACTTGATTTAGGTTTATGTTTAAATTTTATAGATTTGATCTGTTTGTTTAGTGCTTTTGATTTTTTGATCAAGTGTATGCGATTTTTTCGAACATATATGATGTTGGCTTAGATTATAACGCTTTGTTTCACCTTCACTGTTGCTGAAAACGTACGAAGAAGCTCTCCACAAGGGATTAGGAATTTAGCCATAAATTAAAGTTAGGTATAAATTTACTTATAAATCGGTTCTTTTCGTTTTCTATTGATAATCGACTCGTTTGCAAGATTTGATGATTGATTTATCTAAAATGAAACTGCAATGGGGTTCAATTGTCGATCGTTTTTCTTTTCTCCATTATTATCTGCAAAGGCTTTCCGGTTCAATGTATAAACAAGCAAATTGAATTTTTACGCATTTGCTGGACTGTAGTTTAACTGGTGCATTTGCTTAAATTCTATACTAGTTGCTCATTTACAATCTCGCTGAAGTGCATGAACAAGAAAACAGATGTAGAATCGTTTAATTCTTCTGATTGGTATTTTTTTAATTCTAACCTCTATTATTTGTACTGATGAAAACCATACTTTGCAGCTGGGAAGGAAGAACTGCACCTACCTTTTTTACTCTACTTGCAGGGTGGACCTGGTTTTGAGTGCATGCGACCATCTGAATCTGCTGGATGGATAAGTAAAGCTTGTGAAGAATTTCGTGTTATTCTAATGGATCAGGTACGTATGTTAATTTAGCAACTTTAAGGTTTTGTGCGTTTATATACTCGCTATATTCTATTTTTTCCTCTTTCTGCTGAAATATTTACGGCACAGCGTGGAACAGGCTTATCAACCCCTTTAACACCATCTTCAATGACTCAATTTAAATCCGCTGAGGATTTGGCCAAATACTTGACACACTTTCGAGCTGACAACATAGTTAATGATGCTGAATTCATTCGCAAAAGGCTCGTTCCAGATTCTGGTCCATGGACAGTGTTGGGACAGGTATATATATATATATATATATATATATATATATATATATATTTGGATACAAAGCACGTGTGCATGGTTTATGACATGCTTGTATTTTACTAGCTATTTTTTCTACGTGAATGTGGTGCAGCCCGTATTAACCCTCTCACAATGTGCGATGACAATGAGTTCAAACTAGTGAAATAAAAAGA